TATACCCACAGCCATGGGCTAGGGATTTGTTTTTGTCCAGGCTCCTCCAATGGCTCTTCTCCAGGAGAAGGGAGCTGGTCTTCCTTGTGAGAATCAGATGAGACAGGGATATGTAAGCTCTTTGTTGATAAGGCCAAGTTGTACTGAGCGAAGTGCTGGATGGACTCAAGATGAGTCACAAGCCACAAACATGCACTCTCTGCCATACTTTCATCATCTGTAAAATAGGGATGGCATGAACAACGCAGGATTGCTGGAGGGGTTTCAGTGGGCTGTGAAGTGTGAGGCCAGAGGACAGTCCTGCTGGTTTGCTGGTAGCTAACTTGGTGATGCTTCAATGGCTGGTTCATAGAAACTCTGTTCGCTTTGGACAAATTTCTTTTTTTATTTTTAGGACTGGGGATTGAACTCAGGACACTCAACCACTGAGCCACATCCCCAGCCCTATTTATCTACAGACAGGGTTTCACTCAGTTGCTTAGTGCCCTCACCATTGCTGAGGCTTGCTCTGAACTCATGATCCTCCTGCCTCAGTCTCCCAAGTTGCTGGGATTGCAGGCATGTGCCACCATGCTCAAACAAATTTCTTCTTTTTAGGTTTTGGCTTTTGTTTCCCTACATCTATTCCTAAGCTAGCAAGACACTGATCACCTTCAGGAATTGGACTCAACACAGTGTCTTTTCCCAGAAAGATACTACTTGCATCCTGATTTTGCATTGCTTATTCTTTTGACCTGGGATAAAGGGGAGTACGTAGGGGCTCAGACACAGGCTGAACTCTAGGCTCCACACTGAGCACCTGTATTACTGAGAACTTCCCCTTCAGCTCCCAGCCAGGTGTTGAACAACACACCTTCTTGTGGGTCTGCTTTATATATTCAGGGTCATACACAGGCCAATTTGGTTCTTTTTGCAGTTTGTATGCCCCACTATGTTAGACACACATCAACCATCTAAGCTTGGGAAAGCATCTAAGTATATAAACGTATTCCCCCTGGGCAACAGCTTCCTGCCACATCAGCATGTCCCTTGACTGCCACCTACCAGTCTACCAATTTTCTAGACCTTTCTTTCTCTGATGGCTGATAGTTTAATGCTTGGTCTTCAACTGCCAACACTAGACATCAATCTATCATTCTCTAAGCTTTCAAGCTCCTGGATAGTGGTGCTTTCCTCTTAATGTCATAGAAACAGTGTTGAATAAAAATTGCCCTCCTCCTGGGAAATGTTAAAAATGTCACTGTTAAACATAAGGGACACAGATACTGCTGGAAATCTTCAGGGTGGAAACTTATTTATACAGGCAAGAGATAGGCATGGAAGGCCTCTATACAACTCTGCCTGCTAACAAAAAATAAGCGAGAGGCTTCAGAAGTGACAGTGGTGGTCCCTAGTGCACAGGCATGGCTTACATCTTATCTCCATTCCTTTTCAGTGAGGAAGAGGAGGCTCGCAGACTTGACGGGGCCCATCATTCCCAAGTGCCGCAGTGGTGTCTAGGGTGTGGAGGTGAAGACCGCGCGCTGCTGAACTGGACGTGTTCTACTGACAATCCGCACCTCGCAGTGCAGACCAGGAGGCAAATGCTGGCACAAAACTCTTTTTGTGGTTCAGTTCTTCATGCACTAAGGGTCTAGGTGAACTAGTGGTTGTAGTTGAAAATTTTATAAATTGTGGTTAATGTGAAGTTTTTCTTTAGTCACAGAAGTTCAGTCTGGTTATTATTTAAAAACTATGAAGCCCTCAAATTGGCAGATCTTCCTGTAGATGATGTGACAGTGGCAGTGACTTAACCCCAAGGAGCCCAGATTGGTGGCCCTGCTGTGTGGTATTTCAGGTTCACTTACAATGTGGAACCCATAAACTAAAAATGCACTCTTCTACCTGGTTTGCAACTATTAAATATTTTATTACAAATTTCATCTTAGCTATTTAGCAAAAAGAACAGATAAACACTCTTTATTAATCCTCCTTTAAATTTTAAGAACTTCAAGATTATTAGTTGCCAAATTGATTACTGGATCAGAGCCACAATTTTCCCCTTAAGAATACAAACTAAAGCCACAGAGCTCTGCCAGGAATCAAAAAACACCAAATTCCTTTTGCCGGATATGAAGTTAAAAAAAAAAAAAAAAAAAAAGCAATGGTGAAATTTGAAGTTTCAAAAACCCTCCTGGGCAACAAACATATTCCTGAGTTACTTATGAACATTTGAGATGTATGTACAATTGAATACTGGAGCAGAAAGAAGTTTTTCCTCACTGAATGCCAACCTTATGACAGATGTGAGAACTTCTGGCTAAACACTTGAAAACACCTTTCTATACAGCATAGTGGGCAAATGGCTCATGAAAGACCAAACACTAGAGGGGTGAATTTCCAGTCCACTGTGGATATGATGCTTATTATCATGGCCAACCTTACAGACTTAAACTACCTATCTCATCATTTATTAGACAAATCATTGAAGATCTCATGCATATAAATGAAGCCTCTGAAGGACAAGAGTGCAGAAAACTTAAGATATTAAAGAACTGGGAAATCCTGGCCAAGCTATGAAAAGATAATTATTCTTAAAACATAATCTTGGTATTTCTACTGGACCTTTGCCCCTCTTTTTTAACAACATGGCATCTTTTGGGAGTTGGCAAAAAGGTTAAGCCACATTGCCCTTGTGCCTTTAATATACCACAGTGCCAGTTAACTTACATTTTTGTTTGTTGCTTTGGGGAGTTATTTTTATTAGGGATTCAGCAAATCTTGTGATAAAGGACAAGGCCAAAGAGCTAATGAACACAGACTAGGAGGCTTCTGATGAAGAAGGAAAAATCTTGTGCACTGAACTGTAGCGACGTGGACAGTACAGGGTAACTAGAGGTGGAGCCAGGGCCTCACCACTATGAAGAGTGTCTACTGCGGCTGCGAATGGGCCCAGGAGGGCACCATGCTGCAGGGATGGCCATCCCCACTCGGCTTCTCCTTGAAACACAACTGCAGCTGCATTCTGCATCACTGGAAACTGCAACATAATATTAAATCTGTTGGTCAACTTGTGGCTATGTGTTTCTTGGGACCCATGTGACAGGGACATGTGCCTGGCATGCTGATCAGAAGGCTGGACAGCCACTGTGGTAGTAATGAATCATTAAGAAAGCGAACTGTGTTCCAGGTACTGATCTAGAAACTGCTCGTAAGATGCCAGTGCCATTGAGCCTCTCTGGATCTCTCAGAGATAACATTTAAAAGCTGAGAGCGTAAGTACTGGAGGAAGCAGGCCTGTGAGGAGAAATCTCACAGAAACCAAATCAAGTAAAATATGAAGCTTGGGCCACACCTTTAAGGGCATCTCCATCAGATGAGCTGTTGCTCTAGACCAGGGGATGGCAAACTTTCCTATAAAGGGCCAGGCAATAAATATTTTAGACTTTGTGGGCCCATGGTCTCTATTGCAACTACTCAGTTGTGCCCCAGATCCTATAGGAAGAAGCAGGTAGGTAGGTCTTTTCTGATAAATTTTACAAAAGCAGGAGGTGTGGGCCAAATGCTAGTATTGAGATCTTCTCAGGCAGTCAGAGAAGAGACAGAGGCAGGGGAGGGGAAGATGGCAGATGACCTAAGTGGCCTGGTTTAGGAACCCATTTTGAGGGCCCAAGATTCACAGTTTTGCCCCAAGATGGACAGGTTTGCTGACAAGGGCAATGACTACTAATAGCCTGCTGCATGGCAGAGAGGGCACGAGTGACACAATCACCAGGCACAAGAGTATGCCTCACATGCTCTGGGATTCCATCAGCTTACCCATCTTCCATCTACCACCTTCTGAAATAGAATGCTTCAGTAAGTGAGGAAAACTTGACTCTCTCCCCTCCCCCTGTGAAGTGTAGGTGGTCAATATGGTGACCAGCTTGCCACAATGGCACTGACCAACAGGGAAGTTCCTGATTTCTGTTTCTGCAGCCTTGACAATCTCTTATACAAAGTCACCCCACTGACTTTGAGAAGGCCTGGGGAATGCTAAAAGTGCCACTTACACAAGCAAAGGCCCATCCTCACCAACACTGGGCTCTGGTGCAGGGTTCATAGAGAGTTGCGCATGCTGTGAGACTTCCCTTGGGATGCGTGGCCTTCGGGCTGTACACTCACATTCCTCTTTAAAACTGTCCTGGGTAGGGCTTGAAGCCTGCCTGTCCCCTTTGCCTTGACATGTGACACAACAGGCTGTGAATCCTTGTCCTTGACAGGCAGGACAGGTCAAAACAAGCTGGCGGCATTGGGGAGTGGAGCAGAGTTTATACTGGTCCCATTGGGCTCCACAGTATGAACATTCTAGATTCAGAAAGAAAAGCCCTTATTATTCACCCACACATAGACATGTAATTCTCCAGTTCCTAAATATAACTCTGAGCTCACCCGTATCTAATACATCCTGTTGAGCCAGGGAAGGCTTCTAAATAGTACATCTCTTATCTTCAAACAAAGAAAATGCTGCCCCCTTACTTTCTTAGGAGTTTTGAGGAAAGGTTGTTGTTGGGAATTATCTTTCTGATGCTAGCACTTACTGATCTATTTTTTTTTTATTGCATCCAGAAAAACAGGCCACAATGTTTCTCTTTTTCATTAGCTACTCCCAAAGTTGGCCAACCAGCCCTTATTCAATGATCTTTTCTCTTAGAACACTCACTTTTCCAATGGGGATATTCAGATGACTCCACATCTAAATTCAACTTCTGCAGTGTACACCATTCTCCCCCAGGCCAGAGTTTTCTCTGGCTGCTACCAGAACACCTAACTACCTAATTCCTAGACAGCACATTATCTTCTTTCTCGGCTTGTTTTTCTCTGCTGACTTCCTGACACCACTGACACCAACCTTCCTCAAGTCTCTCACCTTGCTTATTTCTGGGCCTTTTCAGGTAATTAGTATCGGCCTGCCTTCCTACAGCAATGATGAACTGGGAATGTGCCACACAGTATGGGCGTCTGCACTTGTGGTGACCTACCTGATAACACATCACTGTTGTAGCACAGGGCATAGCGCTCATCAAAAACAAACAACTTCCCCTTGTAAAAACCATCAGGAAACTCTTCCAGGTACTTGTGGATACCACCCTTGAGCTGGAACACTTCCTTACACACTCCCTAGGAATAGAAAAAAAGGAAATCTGAAGAAACAAGCAGAGACCTAGAGGAAGATCCACAGAGCAGTGCCAAGTGCCCAAGTGAGGATTCCCCACCTCTGCTATCTATCAGGGCTCCTTGCTCCCCCTGCAGGACAGAGGAATTGCTAACCAAAGGGTAAAGGAACCAACTGGCCAGACCTGGCCTACTGGGGGGAGGGGGAATGGGGGGATGGGTGATGACAGCAGTAGGCGCCTTTACCCTCTAAGATCCTGGGAAGCCCAACTATTTTTGCTACCCCCTAAATATAGGAAGACATCTGCTGGGGCATGTGATATTACTGAATTTGCTCTTCTTAGGATCAAGCAAAAGGATTAGGAAAGTGGAGATGTTGAACTAAGCTTTCTCTTTTGTACTTGATGAGTCTCTAAGACTGTTAAGTGTTTTTCTCATCTTGAGATTTAAGAACCTCAGATTTTGCACTTGGAAACTCTATGCTGGAACCATACAAGGGAAAAACAAATCCTTTGGCTGGCTGGAGGGTGGGAGAGGACTGGGAAGGGGTGGAAAGCACCACACAGGCTGCTGGTAGAGACTCTGTCACCTCCATGTTGGCAGCACCTCCAGGACGGTAGCTCACCTTGGCCTTCAAGTAGGCTGAGCCACGCTCACATCGGATGCCCCCAGTGCAATACATCAGCACCCTTTTCTCTCTGAAAAGTTCTAGATTTGTGTCAACATAGCTAGGAAAATAACTGAATTTCCTGATGTCTGGGGCTAAGCAGCCCTGGAATCGCCCCTACAATGTAGAACAGCAGAAGGAAAATTTTCAGAAAAACATACCAAAAGTTCTCTATATCAACAATTCCCATCCTTGGCAAAGAGCATTTGCCAGTTGCTCTTCTCATCCCAAACTCTGACCTTTTAACCTCAAATCTGGAACTAGAAACAAGGCTGGCAGACTGTAGATGACCTTCCTACTGAATCCACAGGGGAACTAGAGAGGCTACCCAAAGCCAACTTTATAAGATCATTGACACATGTCAGGAGAGTCAAAAAGTACATTATTTGCCAAGAGGTCTTTAATTCATATTTTCTTAGACATTCTCACCAGATTCTAAGTGGAAAGGCTTGGGTTTTCTTTGTAGCTGCTAGTAATAGAAGGTGATCTGTGTGGTCAGTGGTTCCCCTTGGGAAATATCCCATGCCACAGGAAGGGGGAGATTTACCTGTACTATTCACTAAATTCGATTCTGGTTCTTAACTTACTATTTTGCTTTCATAGAAGTTCCTGCAGTCCAGTAGGATAGTATCACTTTGTTCTTTATCTGCCTGAGATAAAAATTTTTCTACTTCTTTATGAAATTCACCTGGGGATAAATGGATTCCTAAAGCCAAACCAAAAAATTATGTTAAAACAATAGCAACAAAAGGAAACACCTAATCACAACTTATGTAGCCTGAATTTTATGTTGGCTTTGTTTCTTTCCACTCAAACCTCTTTTCCCCATAATGACAGACTCCAAATAATATTTGATAATCATAATAATGATAAAATAATTTAGTGAGACCTTCATCTTCCTCCTCCTAATAGGACTACAGAGAGCAGGTAGGTTAGAAATAATTAGCTGAATAAATTTGCTCATACTTGGCCTAATCAAGTGATAAAACCCATATAACTGGGACCTATTTGGGTTTGCTTGTTCATTGTATGCTCACTAGTGAGTGGGTCAGGAAATGACCACTGTTCTATTGTCACTGTGCATGAAGGAGCTCTGGAATATATGTGCTTGATTGTAAGCTACAAACAGTTTTATACCAAGACTGAATCCAAGTTCAAGGATAAGAACCTTGGCTTAGTCCACTGAAAACACTGAAGTTTTGAAAATAAAGTTAGAATATGTCTTTTAAAAATGCAAAAGGAAGGGGCCAGGGTTGTGGCTAAGTGGTAAAGTGCTTGCCTAGCATGCATGAGGCACTGGGTTTGGTCCCCAGCACCACATAAAAATAAAAACAAAGGTATTGTGTCCATCTACAACTAAAAAAATATTTTTTAAAAAAAATGCAAAAGGGTAAGAGGTAAGAAGAATGTGTCTAACTTTGTGTACATGATTAAGGAAGAAAGAGGTGGGAGGAGTTGATACAGGAATGACATATGAGAAAAGAAAGGAAAGAAAGAAATGGATAAGAAAGTGAGAAGATGGGTGAGTGGAGAAAAATATTAAAAACCAGGGGACTATAGGAAAGAACCTTTGCCTGTAGGATAGAAATATTCCATATCCTGGAAGATCCAGACATCAGAGTAGATGGTGGGAACTTTTGGTGAATTTGACATTGTAGGGTGACTATGACTCATGCAGGGATTCTGGTGACTTACCACCATTCACGATGGAGTTTTAAAGCACTAAAGAAGCCTCACTCTGCCCTATAAGCACCCGACAATGCTCTGTACCCTGGAGAGGCTAAAGGCCCCACAGCACAGCCAAAGAGCCTGTGTTTCTACTAGTCTAAACTAGGATTATAGGGAGTATGTAACCAGGTCAGATGCTATTTAAGTCAATGTCATATGACTGCATGGATACCAAAAGAGTAGGGTAAAAAAGGATATTAAAATATGTGATGAGAAGTGTAGAAATTGGATAAAACTTCATCCTGCTTGGAGTCACAGGGACCCTAAGCTGTCCTTGCTGCTATTATTGCTGTTGCATTACTGGCCCTGAGAATGCCTGACTGGATCATGATCTAGACAGACATGTTTCAAAGGTCCCTTTGAACAACTTAGTTCAAATGAAAGCAGCATGGCAAAGCATGGAACCCACTCTTCCCTGAGCTCCTGAGTAGTGCCCTGTAGCACCAAGAAGAGCTTTTGTTGTTGGCACGGTGCTTTCTGTTAAGATGGGGCCACCAAGTAGACACAACCCTGTTTGGCTCTTATCTTCTCATGAAAGAGTTGTCTTCTCCAATATGCTGGTATCTTACTCCCACATTTCCCTCTGCCTTGACACTTAGCCTTCTTTTAAATAATGTGCATATTGAAAAATGAACACCTTAGAGTCAAGTGCCCTTTGCAATTCCAATGAAAGAAGGCAATACTACCTATGGAGTAGTCTTGTGGGGTGGAGAAAGAAAAGAAATGAAAAAAGTAAGAAACTCAATCTGATCATATCTGGTCCTGACTTAACATGGTAGCTACTGTACCTGTAGCTGACAAGCACTTGAAATGTGGTTTGAGACGTGCTAATAAGTGTGACATACATACTGAACTTCAAGGACTTGGATTAAAAACAAAAAACTGGGGCTGGGACTGTAGCTCAGTGGTAAAGCGCTTGCCTGGCTTGTGAGGCACTGGGTTCGATCCTCAGAACCACATAAAAATAAATAAAGATATTGTATGTCCACCTACAACTAAAAAAAATATTAAACAAAAAAAACTAACTGAAGTTGAAATCAATGTTTTGAATATAGCACAGTAATACAATAAAACATTAAATTAATTTCAACTTTTTACATGCGGCTACCACAAAATTAAAAATTATATTGTGTGGCTTGCATAATTCTATTAGCACCATTCTAAATCTAATTACCAATTTGTAGGAAATACTGGAAACAGAGGAAAATTCCATGGGGATGCAATTAAAATTATCTGGATGAGAAACTCTATAGGCCAAATGACCTAGTTCATTCAAAAACTAAATGGTAAGGTGGGAAAAAAAGATGGAGGTGAATTTATAGATTTAAAGACACTTATAGAGGCACATTGATGAAATCACAATGAATGGGTCTCATCTGAATCTTAACAGAAATGTAACAAATAACAATACACTGGGAACTAATTAGGTATTTGAAATATTAAGATATTACCATTAAAATGTTTTAGGTGTCACAATAGTATTACTTTTTATTTTTTTCCAAACTTTGTCTTTTATGATTGAAATGACATGGCATTGGTATTTCCTTCAAAATGATCCTTCAAAAGGATGGGAGGGGGCTGGGGTATAGAGAGAAGCTGACCATGGATTAGTAATTAACAAAGCTGTGTGATAGCACACGGAAGTTTGCTATACTATTTTCTCTACTCTTTAATGTCTAGAAATTTTCATAACAAGTAAAATAAAATAAATTTTAAAATCCCACAAAATAAGTATCTTTCAACCATCCATAGGACAAAGGGAAGGGAGAAAGGAACATTCTAAAGCATTGTAGATTGCTTTGGTATTGAAAGCCACTTGGTTTCTGTGGCAAAAAGTGCATGCTCTATTCTGCTGGTGAACTATTTACAAGTAATTACACTCTTCACAAATTGCTGTCTTTGAAAATAAAAAACAACTTCATGGCTAAAAATAATAACAAGTAATTCTAAGGGGTGTGTTCCATAGCACCACAGAGAAGACCCAGGTTGTGAGCTAACTCAGAGCTGTTTTTATTAAAGAGAATATTCATCAAGACTCTTGCTGATCAGTGTCTAACTTTCCTATTAAATTTTGCCCCTATGACAAAAAGCATAACTCTTCTTTTAAAAATAAGCATACCAGGCTTCTTGTAGGAGATCTTATTGGGGCTGATCCCCATGGGCACAATTTCTTCAAATACACCAACACGCAATTCTGGAAAACAGTGAGCTCCTCCTCTGCTGATCTAGACAAAGGGAAACAAAAAAGAATACAGTCTTCCTATATCATCACCAGGTCTAAGTACTAAATGTAAATATTATGGTTTGTTGAAGTCTTAAGAAACCTCAAATTAAAACAAAGATTAAGAAACTACAATGGGCATAGAGTTAGGGCCCAGAATGTTCCAGATAATTCAAAATATTAATAAATAGTTATTGCATATCTCTCATGTGCAGGAATGTTATGTTTCTATGGGTATGGGCATTTAACTATAAAACTGAAGAACCCCTGAGCAATTCCCAATGTGTGATTATACCCCAGCTGCTAGTCTGGAGCAATGACTTCTTTTCCTATTGTCACTAGCATGAACACTTCTCAAGGCATTTCACATCATCTTATTATCTATTGTGATGAAGCATAAAATCACTCAAAAACTGCTGCACTTCTCTATGTGGTATGAAGTGTCAATCTTGATTTTAGGTTTACTAAAAACATAGTAAAATCAAAATGATCTGCTCAAACAGATAGTCCCACAAATGAATGAACACATCCACATTTTAGAGTCAAACTGTGTAAGAGTAACACCTTTATTGTGTAAAATGGGAGACTGAGATGTAAAGAGGGCTCAAGGTAACATGGTGACTCAATGGAAGAATGGAGATAGGAATTCTCCTTCTATTACACTGTGTTATAACTTAAAGGGAAAAGAGAATTTTTCTGGCTCTGTTTATTTCTCTACATTGGTCTCCTCTTCAATAACCTACACTGAGACAGAAGGAGAAAGCTCTAGATCCATTTCATTTTCAATTTTTCTTACCTTAAAATCTTCCTTACAAAGATAATCCTTAAATAATGGATAAGAAAGCATGGCTTCCACATAGAGTCTGGTGGCCAACTTGCTTCCTCCAACTGTCCCATTGATTCCTTCAGTAGCAATTCGAATCTGAGAAATAAGATGTTGAAAAATAGGGATCAGAGCATGTTCTTAGTTATTCTTCCAGGATAGAATGAAATGATCTTGCATATCAATGAGTTTAACAGGATACGCAGAGAGCTTCTGTGGACACTGAAGTATTACTGAACATATAAAGGTAAAATTTCTAAGCTGACTCTAAGCTGCAAGAGTCTGAGTTAAAGTGTAAAAGACTGGGGATTGTAAGGTTTCTAAATTGAAAGGCTTGGGCTAAAAATAATAATATAATAGGCCAGGTATTTTAAAATTCCTCTGCTACCCGTGGAACCTGTAATCTCTGTAACTGTTAGAACAATACCTGAACTGCCCAGTAAATATTTCCATTGATTCCCTGGTTGTTTATTAGCTAAGGGCTCCAAATAGCTCAGACGTAAGCATCCAGGCCACAAAACCAATCAGTTTAAATGTGTACCCCGCTCAGGGGTGACCAATCACCCCTGCCCAGATTGTTCCCACCAATAGATGTACTAATCATGGCTCAGGGTTGTTGTTCAATTTTCCTGCACCTCAAGATGATTTGTTCTGATGTATGCAAAGCCCCCCACTCTCTCCAAAAAGTGTACTTAAGCTCTGCTTGACCTCTGCTCGGGGCTCTGGGCTGCTCTCCCTTCCTGAGTGAGCCTTGAGCCCCAGCATGCTGGTTCAATAAAACTTCCCCCTGCAATTGCATGAAGCTGGTCTCTTGTGTGGTCTCTCCCTCCGACGCTCCCCCGGACCCTTACAAACAAAGGTACCCATGTTTCTATAAAATGGCACAGCCTGTAGAAGAGGCAAGGTATTTAGATCATGTATGCTGAACAAGAGAATGTGAATAAAACTCCTGGAAAATCCATTTACAGTAGAGCTCCAATCATCCAATGGCCAAACAAGTGAATTCTGAGCTTAACCTAAACCCAGGAAGTATAATAGAGTCAACAGATCAAGATTTAGCTCTGCTACTTACTTGCCATGTAGCTCTAAAAGAGTTAAATGACTTCTCTAAACTTCAATATATTTTTTATATTTGAAGTATGCAGTTTGGGCAGTTTTGACATGTATGTAACCAATATAATTAATATAAAAAGCATATCCATTATTCAATTCTTCATGTTGGTAAAAAGAGAATAAAAGAATACCAAAAATGGTGGTGCATGCCTATAATCCTAGCTGCTTGGGAGGCAGAGGCAGGAGGATCATGAGTTCAAAGCCAGCCTCAGCAATTTAGCCAGGCACTAAGCAACTCAGTAAGAACCCGTCTCTAATAAAACACAAAATAGGGCTAGGGATATGGTTCAGTGGTGGAATGCCCCTGAGTTCAATCCCTGGTACACCCCCCCCAAAAAAAAACCCACCAAAAATAGTGTGTGTCTCCTTTGTTTACTAATGTATCCCCAGAGCCTAGAATAGTACCTGCCACACAATGGACATTCAATATATATCTGCTGAATAAATGAATGGGTATCTCATGAGAAAGCAAGTACACACAAGTGGCTTTCACTATAGTACAGCATGAGGGTAAATAGGAACCTCCCACTTGGACGACTGAACATTTTGCTTATGGTGGATTCAATAAGACCAGGCAACAGGTCTTTAGAAGCTCTCTATATTCTCTTTGGAAGATTTCACTGATAAAGGGATAGGTCACCAACATTCTCTGGGGGCCTTGCAGAGTTGGTTGTCTCAGTACTACAAAGTCTTGGCATGGCTACAAAATGGGATTCATCATGCAAACGAATGTACTGGTAGTGGCTATCCACAGTTCCATGATTAAAATTCTAGATTACATCCAGATTTCTTAAAAAGTCTGCAGTCTAGTGCAGCTTATTCTGGGAATGTGCTATGGTTTGGATCTGGAATGTGCCTCAAAGGCTCATGTGTTGAAGGACTGGTTTGCAGTGCAGTTATATTCTGAAGTGGAGCTTTTGGAAAGTGATTGGACCTCATCAAAGGATTAATTCATTGATGGATTCATAACTGAATGGACTATTGGGAGGTGATTGAGTGTTTAGCCACAGCCCAGTCGGAATGGTGCCTGGCATATTACCATAAGGAGTGGTTGAGAGGTGACTGGCATGAGCCATTAAGATGATGAAAATTAAGTTAAGCTGTGTATAATTGCTGTGACTGGATGACACTGGATTGAAAAAGGCTGTCTATTCAGTTGTATATTGACCCCTGCTGGCTGGCAATAGGGGGGCTCCTGCTGCCTCAGGCAGGAGCCCCTTGAGTTCTCCTGGAGTTCCCCTAGAGTTCCAGTTGAGCTCTCCGGGGGATTCCTGGAGAGTTCAAGTTGGTTGGTGAGGTTCCGGTGGAGGGAGTTCCAGTTGGTGTGTGGTGTTCCTGGAAGGGCCATGTGGGTGGCGTGCCCGAGAGTTCGGGCAATAAAGGAGTTCCTGTTTGAATCTACAAGTGCCTCATGGCGGCTAGATTATTTTGTGCCCAGCCAGACTGTGGCAATTGAGAACTGGAGAAGGGGCTAGTTGGAGGAAGTGGGTCACTGGGGATATGCCCTGGAAGGCTATTATCTGTCCCCAGCCTCTTCCTCTCATTCTCTCTCTGCTTCTTGGCTGCCATGAGGGTAAGCAATTTTCCTCCACTGTGCCCTTCTGCCAGGATGTGTGGCCTACCCTCAGGCCCCAAACAACGAAGCCAGCTGTTCATGGACTGAAATACCTGAAACTATGAGCCAAAATAAATCTTTCCTTCTTTTTCTCAGGTTTTGTCACAGCAACAAAAAGTTGGCTAACACAGCATGGAATAGTGAAGCAGGAAGCATATGCCATCTCTGCTGACAGTTACTGTATTTACTACCAATTTACAGGGGACTACACAGAAAAATAGATTTGAACCAATGTAAGATCAGGAAATGCATTTCCAGAATAGTTTGAGACAGAAAAGATAAAATACATACTTCTATATAGCTGTCTTTGAATAGGCTAGCAGATCCTTTCCTATTTTACTTTAATCTCAGAACCCAAATAAATGGCAAGCACATCTACTCCCCACATAATTAAAGCAGAGCAATTCTAAACTCAGGTGCTAGACTTTCAATCTCTAGGACTCTTCAACAAAAATCTTCAAAGGAATTCCTTGTTGAGATAGGCCTTATACCTATAGCATAAGTAGAAGTTAGTTATTAAGCACCCACTATGAGAAGGAGCTTTACATTATATCGAAAGGTAGATTTCATGATCACCATTTTACAGAAAAGGAAGTAGAGGTTCAGAAAAATCAAATAACTTGTGAAGAACTGGGGGGTGGGAGATCTGGGATTCAGAACCAGAACTTATTGGCTTTAAAACTTGTCCTTTGCAAAGTATCCAATGTACTTCCTCAAATTTCTTAATCCATATGGGATGTACAACGATAAAGGCAGAAGCTTCTTTCCTCAATCCTAAAATTGTCAGGTTTTCTTTCCTTAAGTTCCAATCAATATTCTGCCAAATCTACCAAAACAGAACTCTCAATAAACTGGGCATGTATCCTTGAAGCATAAGAATTTGGACCTGAGAGACAGGAAGATGGTGCCACCTTGTGTAGAGGATCCCTCACTGCTAGATTACTATTAGGTTGGACAGAGGATAAAAGTATGCCTCTTCACCAAGAGAAGAGACTGATTTCATATACTGCACATTCTGTGAGAGTACCCAACTTTCAAGATGTTCTCTGAATAGATATGGTGTATACGTTCATTCCACAATATCTACTAATTTTTTTACTATGTATCAGAAATTGTGATAGGAAGAAAGAACAGAGAGGTTGAAAAAAAATAATCCTTCCCCTCTTAGAGCTTGGAGAACAAGGAAGGTTATAGATATGAAGATACTGAGTTATAAACGGACAAGTGATAAGAAAGTAACAATAAGATGCTACACGGAGGGTCGCGAGTTCAAAGCCTGCCTCAGCAACTTAGTGAGGCCCTAAGCAACTCAGTCTCTAAATAAAATATTAACAACAACAAAAAAAATTGGGGGTGCTGGGGATGTGGCTCAGTGATTAAGTGTTCCTGGGTTCAATCCCTAGTACGAGAGAGAGAGAGAGAGAGAGAGAGAGAGAGAGAGAGAGAGAGAGAGAGAGAGAAAAGATGCATAAGAGAGTATACTGGGAAAAATGAATTTAGTCAGGAAAGGTCTCCGGGGAGATTTCATGAAGTTTGAGTAAAAATTAGCCCGGAGGAACAGAGTCGGTGTGGGAGAGTTCCTTTGCAAAAAGGCCCAAGATAGGAAAAAGCTTGGTATGTTCCAAGAAACTCACAGACCGTGTTGCTGGAGTATCAAGAGTGAAGAATGGCATCAGATATGTGGAAAAGAAGCTGAGTGCAGTGCACACCTGTAATCTCAAGTTACTTGGGAGGCTGATGTAGGAAGATCACAAGTTCAAGGCCAGCCTCAGCAACTTAGTGAAACTGGTAAAGCACCCATAGATTCAATTACTAGTAATGAAAAAAAGTTAAGTGAAAATGGTAGGAAGTGCCCAATCATGCAGGAACCCAGGGCATGTGAAGGACATGGGTTTTACTGCACTTGTACTAGAAAGCAACTGAAAGATACTGAGGGACTAATATGATTTTATTTACCTTCTAAGACTATTCTAGCTGTTGTGTAGAGAATGCATAAAATGGTGGATAAGGATGGAGGACTTGAGACTAATTTGGAAGCTACTGCAAGGACTAGGTAAGAGAGGCTAGTGGCTTGGTCTAAGGTGGTGGAAGTGAAAGAGAAATGAATGGAGTCAAAGGCTATTTTAGAGGTAGAAATAATAGGACTTGGTGATGAACTGAATGAAGTAAATGAAATCCCGGCATGTTAGAAAACATGGGTGTGGAAAATAACAATAACTGGTTATTACCTTAGGAAACTTATTACCTTAGGAATCTAAAACTTAGAAAAAATTAGCTGCTTAGACAGTGTCATAACTGGATGGAGTCTCAGAGGAAACCTAGTTCACTTCTTTTGATTTAAAGTTTAGATATTATATAACAGAGAGAGAGATATGCATATTATGAATCACAGAGAACATTACAGAAAAATAAAAACCATCTGTCCTGTCATGCAGTCATGATCATTATTAGTATTTTTAAATATATTACCTCTCATCTTTACATACATACTATGGTTCTTTTATGAACATCCATTCAATTTTTTTATTGGACTAGGACAACATTCCTAACTTCATGAAGTTATATTCTCTAAGGAAGACAGAATATACTCTCAGGCATAATAAATTCTTTGAATAGCAAAAAGGGATAGGAGTGCGGTAAGGACTCCTCTGATTACAGTTCTGAGAAGACAACATTGAAACAGAGATCTGAAGGGAGGCACAAACCATGTGGAGATGTAGGGGAAGATGTTAGGACATTCTAGAGGGAAAGGTAAAAGCAAGCATCAATACCTTGAGATGGCAAAAGACCCTGGCATATTCCAGGAAAATTAAGAAGCAGCTTAGAATCACACCTGTATGTATGGTCTATAAAAGGGTTTGGGAGTTCATATACCATGAACATTCCTCCGTCCCAGAAGTCAGCAAATTATCCCTGCTTTTAAATATAGTTTTATCAGAACACAACCAGATCTACTTTTTATGCAGTCTATGGCTGCTTTCAAGTTCTAAAAGTAATGAGAAGTTTTTCTTTTTCTTTTTTTTTTTTGTAAAAGCCTAAAATATTTACTATCTTTAGGAAAAGTTGGCTGATTCCTGCTCTAATTCTTACAAAACACCAAGATTAACAGCTGTTTAATGCTCTACTAAAATGCACAGCAGGATTTCTCTAACTTCTAAGAACCCAAGAGCAAACTTTTTTTTATAGAGTATAGGCTCTGCAATCCAAAGTTGGAAGGCAAGATGAGGCCAATGCAGGGGGGCAGGTGGAGAAGGGTTACCTTGCCTGTGAGGTGCAAGTGCTGACACAGAGCTGTCTGCCAGGCACAGATCCATTGGGGATCCTCTAGGTCACAGTAGCAGTAATAAAGTAGCACCTCCCCTTCTTCACTGCCCTGGCCACTATAAAAGAAAATCAGAGGAAAAGAGCATTTGAGATGCTGGTGTATCAGGTAGAAGATGAAGATGGAGCAACTGATGTCTGCCGTTTGCTTCTACTACTATTCTCCTGAAATAAAAAGCAACTTCTTTTGGTATTTTCTCTGTAGAAGGCAGTATCTGCACTGAATATCCTACTTTACAAAAAGTTAGTTTACTTAACTCTCCTTATAGTCATATCTGAGAGACTGGTATTAATAACTCCATCTATAGGAAAGTTGGAAATATGAGTTCATTCTGGCTTCTCCTCTAACACAAGGCAGTATCTGTTTTGAATCTCTCACCAAATAAAAAAGTTTCAGTTCCATTTTTTTCAATCCTCTTACCTGTGAGGTTATTGTCCCTATAGGACAAACTTTCATACCTTAGCAAGTTCATGCTGTCAACAGTAAACACTCAAAAAGTGCAACCACATTTCCCACACTCTACTAGAGAAGAGTATACACAGTTTGAAACATACAACTTAAAAAGAAATTCATTAGGTGGGATATACATTCCCCAATAAATTCCAATAAATGATTTGTTTTGCCTGGGTGTACAAATGGATTCATTTGGTCTAATTTATGAGAGTCCTTTTGTTGTTGTTAGTTTTTACCTATTCCATTTATTTATTTAAAGAAATTTAAATCACCAGGCATAATGATGTACATCTGCAATTCCAAGACCCAAGAGGCTAAAGCAGGAGGATCATAATTTCAAGACCAGTTTGGGCAACTGAAGGACACACTGTCTCAAAATAAAACAAAACAGAGCTGGGAATGAGTGCTTTCTTGGAGGGAGGTCCTGGGTTCAAACCCTAGTACTGACAAAAACAACAAAACCCAAAGATACAAATAAGCAAAATTTACAAGTAAAATACACAGACCGTAAGTGTACAATCTGATCAATTTTGACAGAGGGGTATACCTGTGTAATCCATACCCCTATCAAAACATAACATTCTCAACATCTCAAAAAACCCTCTTGCATATATTGCAAGTCAAATCTTCCACTACAGGCAACTTTTCTATCATCATAAATTTGTTTCTGAAACCAGAAAGTAAGTACTCTGGTTTTGGTCTCTCAGCATAAGGATTTTGTGGTTTACCCATACATAGCCCTTCATATCAACAGTCCACAGCTTGCTCCTGTGCAATATTTTTATGATTATACCAGTTTATATTGTTCTCCTACTGATAGACAGTTGTAGTTATTTCCAGTTTTTGTTGTTGTTATGAATAAAACTATGAAAATTCTTGTTCAAGGCTTTTTGTGGACATGTTTTTATTTCTGTTTGAAATATACTCAGGACTCAGTATATATATATATATACTCAGTATAAATATATACTCAGTCATAGGCAAGATGCTTAACTTTAAAAATATAATAAAATCTACTGAGGGCTGGGGTTTTGACTCAGTGGTAGAGTGCTTGCCTAGCCATGTGTGAGGCACTGGTTTTGATCCTTAGCACCACAAAGAAATAAATTGAAGGTACTAAAAGGAATGGGAAAAAAAAGGTGAACTATTAAGAGGGGAGAAAAAAAAAGAATATGCTGAACACTTTTCCAGAGTGGTTGTATCATTCATTTCACATTCCCACCAGCAACAACTGGGTGTTCCAGCTTTTCTACATTCCCATCCATATTTGCTGAAATTGGTCATTCTCATTTTAGCCAGTTTAGTGGGTGTTGTGTTGCTCACGACAAAAACACTCAGGGATTACTCCAGGGGAACTGGGCTGTGCGAAAAAACCACACAAGAGACAGAAATACCTTTTTCTTTGGGGGTGCTGTGGCGGCTCCTCTGACCTTAAGGGTCTGCAGAAAGAGAAAGTGAGCCAGCATGTGCTGACCCCTTTTATTGAGGAGAAGCCATTTAAATGAGGCAAGGTGTCAGGTTTCAAAGGGCTGAGTCTAGCTTCATGATGTCTGCTGTCAGCAGGTTGACTGACATCTAGGAAGGCCATACCCAAGGGCAGAGTAACAGAAGGGGACACACAAAGGGCGTTTCCATGGAACATTCTATCTCAAACAGAGCAAAGGGTAATATCACAAAGGAAAAGGTGAGCATAGCTCCACCCATAGAGCTGCAGGAAGTCACGCCTACGCATGAAGACACATAGGTTGCATTATTTCTACCCTCAAGATGGGGCTAGGGGGCTGGGGATGTGGCTCAAGCGGTAGCGTGCTCGCCTGGTATGTGCGCAGCCCGGGTTCGATCCTCAGCACCACGTACAAACAAAGATGTTGTGTCCGCCGAGAACTAAAAAATAAATATTAAAAAAAAAAATTGATTGTGGCAATTTT